AAGCAGGGGACATGATCATTCCTTTATATTATGTATTGCATCCTTTCATGATTTCATAACCCTGCTGCTTTGAAGTTATACTTGTTCTGGAAAGAAGCATTGGTATGAAACACCAGCAGCAGAGAGGTCCTAGTACCTCTGAAGTATCTGGAAAAGGGTGGCTTATTTTGCAAAGCGTTAGCCTTCATTATTTTGTTTTCCAGTAGGCTGTATATTTTTATATGTTTATTTTAGTGATAGCTAGCTCTGTGTAGAGTTGTTTGGGATGGCGGTTTGAATCTTCTTTTTTTTTTTTTTTTTGTATATGCATATTAACTACATTTGTGATGTGCAATACTTTTTCCAAAGGATCTGAATTTCTTTTTAAAGAGTAAAACAATGTTTCTGGGATCACTTTCAGATAAAGTTGTCAGTGGGGCATTATGAGAAAGGGTGATGATAAGAATGAAGAAAATTGATTCCTATAGTGATAAATAATGACCTAAGTAAACTAACAACAGCTCATATTTCTCACTTGATAGACTACCACAAGTAGAATAAAAGTTCTGTTATTAAATGTGTCTATTTCAATCTTTAAAATAGCATTGTTTTGCATATGTGGCATTGCTCTTCACTCTAGAAGTATATGAACATGTTTACAGGCATTTTTTGCAGTAACTGAACCAAAAATTTTAATATACAGTGTTTCAACATTAAAGTACAACCTTCAATAACAAATGAAATTGAGAATACAAAGCAGCTGTGGCAAAAATGTGGTGTATTGGCTTATTGCAATACCAGCTGTATGCAATTTGTACTGTATTTCTGAAATAAGAAGTTTCATTTTCACTTGCTTAAGTCATTTGCTCGCTGTGACAGACAATTCATCATTCACTGCATGTTTAAAGCTTGCTACGTGTTTTGTTTTTTTTTTAAGTGAAACAGTTTTTTCTTTGCACCTCACCAACTTACCTGCTGAATTATTTCATAAAAAAGGCAGTTGAAACTTGTCCAGTTCAATGTTACAGTGATGGCTCTTTTAATCAGGTACCTCTATAAAACTCCTTAAAAACACTGGGCTGGGGGTACTTCTTATAATACCTTTGTGTTTGTAAATACAATTCACTTTCTGTAAAAGAAATGATAAATAAATGGAAGGACTGCATACTAGTTCACTGTTTGACATGCTAAAAAGGAATGCTAAGGCATTTGGATATAAAAGCATTTGAAATAATGTATTAGTTATCCAGTTTGGGACTTTGAGTACTTTTCAGCCATTTTGTCCATTAGACATTTTTTATTAACTGTTTGCTCTCTCTTAGAAATACTGTATGACTGTATTGTGCTTGATAGGGTTGATATTAATTGTGATAAATAGCATTCTGCTATGCATATTATGTATACATTGAATTACAAACCCACTTAATATAGAGAATTACAGGAGAAGAGAATGTAATATTTTGAAAATCTCTACTCCAGCATATGATAGTGAAAGACAATCTCGCTGGCAAAAAAAGAGGTAATCTGAAATTCGTAGTACCTTTGTCAGGGATCTTCGCTGATCTTGATCCAGAATGGTCCTCATGAAATGTGACTGTTGGAAGTCGTGACTGTATAGGGGGGTGGAAGGGCAATGATCATGTCAATTGTGGTATTTTAAATAATTCTCAATTGTGTCTCCATTGTATCCTATGCCATTGGGGCGGGAGGCAGGGACTGTAAGTCTGTGTAAAGAGGATAGCTGCAGGTAGGTAAAAATAATGACCAGTTATACTAAAACTTTTATTTATCCATTAAGAATAATTAACTTTCATTAAATTAGGGTAAGGAATCTCCATCCTAGTCACCTACAAGGCATCTCTCTTTTGAATTGCCAGCCATGCCTGTTTGTGTGGACCACGTCCATCACTTACGATATTTTTCTGGTTTCCCATTGTTTCAGTTACAAATTGTATAATTCATTGCTTTTGTTACTATTTTATTAGTATTTTCATCTTCTCTATGGAAAACAGTTTACATTGCTCCACTTTTGGTTTTACTTAGAGAGTTTTTCTCCAGTTACTGAATATAGAATTTAAAGGATAGAACCAAATAAAAAGGAGAAACATTTATTGTTTTATCTGATAAAACTTCACTGGTAGTTACCTCTCAATTTCAAATTAGTATTTCCAAGTTCTCAAATATAAAAGAACAGTGTTGAGCAGCTTCATACCTTCTGCACTGTTTTTTAATAAATAGCAAGAAATTGCAGTATCTAATACTGCTCCTTTAAGATATTGCAGATTCAAGGATGCAGATTTTGGATACTTGCATTTCTTAATACTACTAGTGTTAGGTCCGGATTTTCCCCTTCATGAAGGTACTGCAGTTGAAACAGTGTTTGAAACGAATGACCTGATAGACTTGGTGATGTTAAGGGAAACCAAGGAGAAAGAGGCTTTGAAAATACTTTTTTGCACTTTTTTAGTTTTACTTAGTCTGTACTTCTGAGAACCGATAATTTGGATTATGTCAGGGCCAAAGTGAGAGCAAATTATTTGGTTGCATTAGAGATTTAAGATTTCCTGAGCTTTCTCCTCTATCCCACATGCCCTTCCTAACTTTGACCTATCTCATATATGAGTGTTTGGCAGGGGGATGTTATAACAGATGACTCACGGCTTTCTGGTCTCTGTTCCTGGTTCTGGGAATCCTCCTGTGACTAAAATCTAGGGATTTATGATGCTTTAGCCTTTCCACATGATATAAAAGGGTTAGTTCAAAATCAGAAACTTTAACTGGTTTTATTTTGACTATGGGTTATGTTTTTGAAAGGAGAAGGAGAACAGTGTGTAAGATTTTAAGTGGAAATCTTAGTTAGTTTGACCTTACATTTATTTCTTATAAGAAAGTAGTAAAAGGGAGAAAATATGGTTTTTGGACAGCCTTCAAAAAGTAAAGTTGTTGTCTGAGGAGTATATGGGATGTCTGTCTCCTTTTGAGCAGTAGTGCAGGTGAACACCACGGAAGTCAGGTGTACTCCTCAGCAGTTGTACCATGTAATTGCAATGAATTTCAGTGAAAATCAAGAATCTGAAAAGGTTATACTTTGAGCAGGAGTCACCTACCAACACTATTTAATAATCAAATATGACACAAACTTTTCCAGAATTTTTTCGTCTTTTGTTTTGCTGTATTTCTTGCTCAGAATTATTGTATCTGCAAATGCACTGGTTTCTTCAGTCTTTGACACTCTTATAATGAAAGACCTTCCATTTCTACAGGTTTAGTCTTTTGTTTAACCAGTACTTAACACGTTGCTTTGTTTCTTGTGGATTGCTCCTTTTTATTGGGCCCGCAAGATGCCATACTCTAAAACTCTAATAGTTCTGAAAATCACTTCATGGTTTTTATTCTTTTTGAATATTTTTAATCCTACTTTTTTTTTTATCCTATCAAAATAAAAAGTTAAGTTTTTTACACATTCACAGAATTTGGAATATGATGTCTTTTTCTGCAAATAAGAGCTCTGTTTTTAAAATCTTCCAGTTTTTTTTTTTCCCCAGCAAGAACAAAAATGATTTTTACACTTTTTTGGCAAGCCTGAAGTAAAACCACACAGCTAATTCTAAATACACATAGAGAATCTGAACTTTTAGGAGAAACATTTCCATACTTAAAATGAATAGTACCTTTTCTACACAGCATCAAATACAGTAACAACTTAATTACTGGCCTTTTTTTAATAGTCCTTAAAATAACAAGGTTTTGAAGAGGTGTTCTTCAGAAGCAATAGGGACAGATCATGTTCTGTATGTCTTCAGACCTCTGAGCCATAAATCATCCTAATAGCATTTCAGTAATATGCTCTAGTGGGTAAACTTGGCAGTTATTTTATCTAAAAGGCAGAACTGAATGGAAGTTAGTAATGAACTTACTTGTGTATTGTAATAGTTGCATATTTGTACAGAAAGGCTGTGGCTTTAAATGAAGAGAGACTACATACAGTAGAGGATTTTAATACAAAATAGGTACTTCAATGTTTAATTTGGCATAACCAGATTATTATGTAATGTTCCAGTGTGCCTGGGGGCTGCAGATATGTTAGCATATAATTAGATACCGTGGGACAACAGATAACTCCAGTTGGTCTATAGAAATGATCTCTCTGCATGCTCTTTATCACCCACAAAAGCAAGGTGTTTATCCTTTTCATTTTAGGCTAAACCACCTTGAAGTACCTTGTGTGTATATATATATTCATTTAGATAAGTAATATGGTTCAGCTGATCTTCAGTAGCTTGTTACTTTGAGGTTACATATTCTGAAGCTGTAACCAATGTTAGTCAACTGTGAACCATGTGAACTTTTAGAATAGGTAAGAGACAAAGACAGCTCATTGGACTTCAAATACCTCAAGATTGTCTGTTTTATAACCTACACATTACACATGCTTGGATAAGCCTCCTATTCCTCCCCGCATACTTTTCCATCAAGTTGACATTACATGTTTTACCATATAAAAAAGTAATGTGTGAACTGTTTTCTCTTTCTGGTTTAATATTTCCGAATAACCCATTTCATTCCAAACACAATTACCATCTGGTCTTTCTAATTGTGTAACCATGGAAATACTTGAAAAGTTAGTTGTCTGTGTATATTGCTAGTGAATCTTCTTGTGACCAACTTTGCCTGACTTGCATTTTTCCTCACTTTATACACAGGCTGGTTTAGCAGGAGCTCCAGCCCGGGCTGTTTCAGCTGTAAAGAATATGAATCTGCCAGAGATCCCAAGAAATATTAATATTGGTGACATCAGTATAAAAGTGCCAAACCTGCCCTCTTTTAAATAACATGGCTACTCCAGGTAAAACCAAGGAAGAAATGTAATAGAGATTTACCACATAATTGTTTACTACATAAACGACATGTCTAACTTTTACTATTTGGAAAAAACTCAAGGTACTGTATAGACATACTTTGAAAAATCAGTGTGTGAAGTTGAATGTTGCTTTTGTCTTTTTTGTGAAATTAAAGGAAATGGGTAGTTCCTGTGTGATTTCTAAATTACATTCCTATGCCCGTGTAAGGCATATCACTGTGTCTCGGCTGCTGCAGTATTTTGGGAAAGTATTTAAGATGTTCTTTACTTTGTATAACCTATAATGCTGAGGTTTTTTGTATATTCACTAAGGTCTAGAATTAGTGCATTCCTTAACTACTTCTGCTGTTTGTCATGATTATTTAAGACTTAAGTGCAAATGTGGCATGAAAACATTAAACTCTTGTTTTGTTTAAATAAAATCATAACAAACCGGACTTCTAAATACCTAGTTGTCTGAAATCTACTCTTTGCAATAAATCATGTTATTTCCTATTCATGGAGCCAATTGACTATATATAAATACCATTGTAGCAAGCATTAATATTGTAGTTTAGTTTCTGAAGGAATGAGACGGGGGTATTGTGTTGAACATATTGGCTCTTTACATTTCTCACAAAAGCTGTTTGTTATTATTCTGAAGGAAAAACTGCCTTTACTGAAGATCCGATGACTTCTGTTTACATATAGATGTTGAGAAGATACTTACACAATCTGATAGACTTTCCCTGATGGTCTGACTTTGTTTTGGGAAAAAGGGTCTCTGCAATTGCTGTATGTGTTGTGAGAAGTACAGAATGGGCTGAGCAGATTGGGCAGCTCAGAACTGTAAATGTGAGTGTATCAAGTAATGTAATAAAGAAAGACACTCTGGAAAGGTAAATGAGGATACTTTAATGGGGCCTCTGTGCCTGGTGACATTTGTGATTCTCTACTTTGAGAATTAGATTTATGAGATACTTAGTATTGTCAAGACCTCAGAAAATCTAAGTGCTATCACCTTTGTGTAAGTTCCTCAGCTCTTAAACTCTTCCGTGATGTACAAAAAATAAAGGGGGATAGTGATTGGATTTTATAATCATGCTCTTAAGCTCGTGTGATGTACAAGTCTGTTTAAATGAATAATAAAAATACCATTGGGATATTTAAGAATTCCTGTAAAGTTTTCTTCTCCAAAAAAGTATGCAGTTAATACTGTAAATGAAGAGACAATAATATTGTATCAAGGACAACACATTTCAGGACTAATCTGAGAGGTCCTATGTTACTTCAGAAAGTTGGATTTGATGTAAACCAAGCATTCTTTTCCTTTGAGTTGAATGTTAAGACATACCCCATAGGATAAACTTGGAATCACATCACAGTCTCTGTTTGACCCATAGTAACTATCATTGGTGCTGTTTGAGAGCATTTGAGAGAAAAAAAGAGAAACTACTTTTCAAGCAGAAAATCTGATACAATCCAAGGAATTTTAATGTATTCCTTCAGGGGAGGGAAAAGAGACTTCATGTATATTGTTTGTATTACATTTAATAAGCATCAAGTAACACTTACTATTTTATAAATGCTTTTGAAAACAGAATTGTCCTCTCCATACCTCTTGAAAAGAATATTTATTCTTCCAAATTAACTTACTTAGTTTGAGGCTTCAGGAAATTTCAGGTGGCGTTTAAGTAGAAAACTGCCACTTTCTCATTTCCACTGAAGAAATTGAGAGCGTGAAACATGCAGCATTTTTTTCCCCTATGAAGTAGAGTATTCTTTAGTATTCCCAAGTTACACAGCTTAGCTAGTACAAATCTGGAACTGTTATAATTTCACCTGCTTTTGCCAACTTTTGTTTTTCTGCTTCATGCATAGACCATGTGACATTCAAAGTAAAGATGTTGAAAATTTTCCACATTGTTCCCCCTGTGAGGATTTAGTTAGTGCTGCTGCCGAAGGATAAATAGCAAATTTTGAAACATTTGGTACTCTGACCTACAGAGAGTTCTTCTGGCTATTTGTGAAAGGAGCTCACAATTTCAGAAATTCTTCCAAGTCCTCTATTTTTTGTCTCACTCTTTTGCCTCTGGCTCATTTTCAGATTTGTAAGCTTATGTAGTTAAAACTTTTTTCATTCCTCGCAGAGGAATCTTTTCTGGGTTTATTTGAATCAAACGTTTTTCCAAATCCCTAGAGAAAATATGTCTGAGATGCATCTTGACATGGAGCATATTTCAGATTAACGTCTCACCTCTTATCTATAAATAACCAGATTTTCATTCATTTTAGTGAACTAGATCTTAGCTCTTAACAATTATATGACTATTTTAAAGCTTGTTTTTTTAGCTTTGTGTTTTGCATTACTGTTCTTCGTACTACCTTTCTCCTGCCTGACAACATGGCTTCTGCCAGAAAGGATTCTTCTTTGGACAGCTCTTCCATAGTCACCAGACTTTTGAAGAAGCTTTTCTGTTTGTGACTGGCCAGCAAATATTTAATGCAAGGCTGTGACTAACAACTGGAGCTTCCTTACTCAGAAAATTGTTGGATGTGAAGAAATTCTTTATGAGATTTTACAGTAAAATTGCACTCCTTTCAAAGAGAAATTCTCTCTCGCATACAGGAGGTACCGTACAGGGTAGCTGAACCTGTCTATTTGCCACTCCTTTGCCAGAGGAGTGTCTGTAGTTTGGCAGGGTAGATATTATCCTTTTACCATGTCAGCTGACACTGCCAGGCCTTAAACTAAAACCAGTCAGAGGAAGATGGGATACTTGATTGATAGAAATGATGGAAATGGTATTCTTACTCTTGACCTTCTAGGGCTTGCCTTGTGTTGCAGATATTCATATATTTTCCATGATGCTGATCTGCTTGTGTTCATCACCTTCATGAGAATGATGTGGCTTTTGAATTCTTTCTCCTACTTCACCAGTGTCCTCTTAACTGCTGCTTAGGATTTAAAATGGAAATAAGCTGTGGGCTGTAAATGATTAAGCTCTTGATTATAAATTTAAATGTTTGTAATGCTTTTGTAACCGCAAAGAAAACCCCCTTTACATAGATAAGAGAGAGAGAGAGAGAGAGAGAGTGACTGACTGACTGAGTGTGTGTGCGTGCGTGCGTGCATGCATCCTTTAGCTGCAGAAGCTAGGCAACTAATTTGCAACACTCCACCTCCATAGGTCCTGCCTTTTAGGTGATGTTCATCAGGGTGCCAGCATGGTAAATGAATCACTGAAAGCCATTTTTCTTAACTCTGGGCATTTCTTAGAACTGCAGATGAAACATTATTAAACAGTAGCTGAGACTATTTGGTACTTACGGTATGTGAGACACCACCTCATGTGTTGGTTTCTCACGCAGGTTTTCTTTCCTATTCAGTTCAGTTTCTCTGCTCATGAAATTCTCTGGGGAGAAACCTTTTCATGTGATGATACCAATTTAACTGTAGTAAGTATTATCTGTACTATGTTTTGATAATCCTTTATAAATCATGCACAGAGATAATTTTAAGGAGACTGTGTAATATTAATAATACAAATCAGTAATTAAGCCTTCAGGATATCTTAACTAATCTATTTTTCCTGCATTTCCCCACACCTCCAGTTTTTCTATTGTCGGAAAGTCCCTGTATCACAGGTGGTTATTTGTCACAATATTGCACAAGGTGAGTATTTTCCACATTTGTTTGTATTCTGGGGATGCAGGGTGAAGTGCCCTCAGAAAGCAAGCCTGAGACTTGGGTGTAGTGACTGTTCAGATTGCTTGTCTCCAAACTGTGACTGTCTCTCTCATTATGAATTATGCCTTTCAAATTCAGAGATTTTTACTGTGAAATTTAGTAATGGGGAGAAGATTAAGTCTGATGGACCTGCGAGAGCAACTGCTAGCTCTGGCAAGTAATTTTTTTGTCTTTGAGAAGCAAAATTCTTTTCTGGGGTACAGATTCCCTCTCAAGTATTGAGAGGAAAGGTGTTGGAAGCATTTTCCTTTCAGAAGCCAAAGACTTTCTCTGAAGGCCCATGTGGAGCAGACAGATGATTTTCTTCCTTCTTGCAAGATAGATTCTTCTAAACAAATGGAGAGACGACAGGAAGGATAAAAGTTTCACAGAGTGAGTGGGCATTCCCAGCTGCCTCCATAGACTTGAAACAGAGCAGCTAGTTTTCCCACTGGGGCAGGGGCAATAAGTACTGCTGAAAAAATCTTTTCGCTCTTTTTTGCTAAAAGAGAAGTATCTCATCTTAGAATCAGCTGAGAATGCTGTCTGCAGTATTGACAGCACAGACAGTCCAGGTACTCTGTCAATGCACTCCCCTCTCCTCCCTGAATAGCGAAGCCCTGTTGCGAATATATTTTGAGAAGAGGGAATATTTTGCCACATTACAAGTGTATACAAAATTCCTCCTCTTAAACAGATGTTGCTGCTCTGATTTATTCTGCTTGACAGGAATGGGTGGAGGAAAGTGTCATTTGTTGCAAGGGAGAAACAGGTTCAAGTCAGAAACAACCTGGCACTGCCTTCCTGTGAGCGCATTTGACCTTTTTTTTTCTAGTAGCACAGTCCAATAAATCCTAAAATTAGTCCTGAGTTTTACTTAGGCTTATGCTGACAGACAAATGGGAACTTGGTAATGTTCTAAGGGTTACCTCATAAAGCTCCTTCATACTGAATTACAGCATTTGCGCGGCATAAAATACTGAAGGAACTGGAAATTAAAATGTCACAAATCAAATCATTGTCTGTTTATAACTGTTAAAGAAAAACAGAGCCTAAATCTTGCACAAAATATATTTCTCAACTTCTGCACAGAGCATTCATAATTTTACTAGGAGCAAGGAAAGCAGCCAAATACTGCCAAAACTGAATAAAGGTGAACAGTTAATTTCACAAAAAAATAATCTTTTGTTATTTACTTTTATGATTATCATAACAAATTGTAAATCTCTTTTTCTCTCTTCATTTAAGGAAATGATCTGTCCTTGCAGTTTTTGGTGTTCAGTGTTTACCCCAAAATGCTCAGTGAGCTCAGGTAATGTTACAACCTCCATGCATGGGTGGAAACACAAAAGTAGTCACACACTATGTCAGCTTAGCAGCCAGATTTCTTGTCTGCAGAAGTTTTGGCCTTGTGGTGCATTAGGAGTGCTGTGACAGTGTGGTCTGACTGGGGAGGAACCAAAGGCTGAGACATCCCCTCTTTGCGCAGACTGAGTGTGCCTGTGGCACTAGAGGCATTTGAGTTGATCTGTCATTCATCCCATGAGGCAGAGTAACAGGCACACTTGTGCCATATTCCACTGCTTTCCTGCCCAGTTTGGCTCTTTTGAAACAGCAGCACACACAGGCTCCAAGTGTCCCTTTCTGGGCTGGCTCTGCTGTCTGGCCAGCCAACAGGACTGCACCAGGAGTGGAGAAAATCCCATTCTGGATTCTCTCTAAACACGACTATAAACATGTCACCAGAGCTGGACCTAAAAGCAGACCTGTAATGATGACTGTGAGCTGCTTGGGTGGACGAGTGTATGGTGTCCCTGTTTTCTTTCAGCTCCCACAGTCCAATCCACAGACCCTCTTCTAGTATGATTTTCAGCACTCAGCCAGCAGAGTTGCTGTGGGACACAAGTTGAATTTCACAGCTTCAGATGTTTGCAGGGTACCTGCGTGTCCCATGTGCATGGCAGGATGCTTGCATGATCATTAGTCTGTGTGTGCATCTAAGAAACTTTTGCCTTTGGTGTTGTCGTGGTAAGTGGCACCCACATCTTCTCCACCAAAGGCCCATCCCAACAAATTTCACCAAGCAGTCTGCAAAAGTGCATAGAGAAGCAAAACTGGGCTCTGCATTCAAAATAATCTTTACAATAATTTGTTGTGCTGATGTGTGTCAGGACAGCAAAGATCTGTCATGATTCAAACAGCCATCCTGTTCCCAAGTGAGGTGCTGTTTTACTTGACATCAGAAATTGCTTGGGTCACCCTAGGACAGAACTCGTCGTTCTGTTCCTGAGACACCCTGGCATCTTGTGTGTCATAGACTAGCCTGCCTGCATCTCTCTACAAAGTCTGCTTCACCAGGGAGGGCTCGCTGGCTGTCATTCTTTTGTGTCTTTTCAGGACAGGTATCATCACAGATACCTCCAGCAAATTGCAGCAGG